TCCCGGGTCTCCAGGATCCCGCCCTGGGCCAAAGGCAGGTGCCAAACCGCTGCACCACCCAGGGATCCCCTCAAGGTAACTATTTTATCCACTCTCCTCCCTCCACAAACTAGAAGTATCACCTGTTTAACCTTGCATAGGTGATAATCTTGCCTTTTGCTTTCTGGACAGTAAGAATCCATAAGAAGAGATCATCCTTTTCCTCCCACCTGTAAACTTCCAACTACCTGTGCCCATGCTCACATAATCTGTCTCTCATCCTTTCAAGAGGGATGACCATCGAAGGCCACTTTCTACCACATTTTTCTTCTATTTTACAATATAATTAAGTCTTAGTACCATTTAAAAGCCAACTATATATAGAGAAAATTTAAACAAAATAAAACCAAGTAAACCTGTATCCAGTATTGTTGTTGTTGTTGTTGTTGTTTTTTAATTTTCAGCCTAGCTACTATTTTACTCTTGGGAACTATCCCAGTAGTTTTGTTCTCCCCAAAGTAATTGTGTACCTATCAACACGATTGATTGCAGAAATAAGAAATAGATGTAGTATCTTCACTTTCTTATTGGATTCCCATAATGAATTCTGCATTTCTCAGCATATTGAGCTTTTAAATTATTAATCATGTACATAGCCCCAAATCACATCCATAACATACAACATATAATATAGATAGAGCAAAGTATACCCTGGTGTCCAATGTTTCTGGTGACAATATAAACTAGAAGAGGAAAGCTGGAGCCGTTTGTACATGTCACCCAAGATGAAAACATAAAAAAAAGTGAAGGGACCTTAAGCAAACTTTTTTGCATATACCTTCTGTGCAGTTTGGTATGATCAATAATAAATATATTTTCTTAATTCTCCATCCCATTCTTACAAAAAGGAGGCATCAGCTTAGCTGTTCTAGAAGGATAGTCCATAGCTGTTTAAGTTAATATTAACATCAGCTTTACAATTTAGTATTCAAATATAATACTTCAAAAATTCAATCATTCCATCCTTGTGACAGTATGAGAGAGGTAAGTCAGACCCCTTGGTTACTTAGGTTGTAAAACTTGGTATTAATGTTTATTATTTTCTCTCATCCCCCCAGTAGACTGGAACCCTGGTGATGCAGGAAATACTGTCCTTAAGAAGCTTATAAGGGACACCTGGGTGGCTTAGTGGCTGAGTATCTGCCTTAGGTCCTGGAGTCCCAGGATCATGTCCTACATAGGGTTCCTGCAGGAAGCCTACCTCTCCCTCTGCCTATATTTCTGCCTCTATCTCTGTCTCTCATGAATAAATGAAATAAAATAAAATAAAATAATCTTACAAGATGCTTATAGTCCACTTGGGGAGAAAGGACACATATATAAAAGCTTAGATGATGGCCTGAGGATATAATTTAGTAAATACTTAAACTAAGTGGGAAATGAGTGTGTACCAAACTGAGATATCTGTCATGAATTGCCTGTGTGCAATCAGTTATCAAACTTCTTTTCTTTCATTGTTCAAAAAAATCTACACAAGTCTTAATCTTGTTTTTAATTGTTTAGCTACCTATGTCTTGATATCATCACTTATAGGGATTACAACAGCTTCCTAGCAAGCCTCTTTATCCTCCAATTCATGCTATAGTTAACTGCCAATATATATCTCCCTAAGCATTGCTTTTTTTTTTACTCCCTGCTCAAAACCATTCTAGCTCTCCGTACATCAAAACTTACATAGTCTTAACTAGAAGTATCACCTGACTTTTTTTGCTTGACTTTTAAGATATGTCAGAATCTATTCCCATCCTTATTTCCTGGGAGGCCTCCTCTCCTCAGTATCCTCACAATTCAACTATGGAAACCCATTGTTTTGGAGCCTTATAACTTTTTCCGCACCTAGGCAGCTTTCCTCACCGCTTTTGCCTCTGAAATTTTAGCCTATCCTTCAAGAGCCAGCAAAGGCCTATTATCTCCATGTTACCTTCTCATACTGTATCTCTTTGTCCTCTCTCCTTCTGTGACATCCGTGGCATATACCATGTAGAATAGCACCTGCCCACTGAATTTATGCAAAAGCTTATTTTTCTAATTATTAATTCTTAGGAGTCAAGAATAGCATTTTGTAGATTCTACAGCACCTGCAGAGTCTTGAATACATAGTAGGAATTTATTAAATTGATATGTAGCATGTTTATAACCTCTCTCTTTGTTGGGTCATATTTTCTAAAAAGAAATAGATACCTAAACAAGTTAGTAAAAAAGTGTATATGTGTGGTTATGTAGTATAGATTTATAGCTTTTATTTAAAGGATATTTCTGGAACTTTCAAAAGAATCTAACAAGCACTTCAAATGATACTTCTCCTTTTCTTTCCATATTGTGAATCTGAGCAATATCCTGGGTTTATTATCATCAAGAGTAAAAGCTAAGGAAGGTTTCTGTGGCCTCTGGATAACAGAGAATGTATTGTCCTGAAAACATATGACTTGGCATCTTAGACAAACAGACAGGTAAGGTTTTCTCTATCATAGTGCCTAGCACAAGCCTGAGGATAGATGTGCTCAATAAGTTCTTATTAATTGATTGAATTTTTTATTATTAACTGAAGGGAAGATTCCGTTTCCAAAATATGCTCATATCTTCAGGATTTAGATCTAAGTGGTATTTCCCAAGGCAATCCCACATTCTAACTTTGAGAAGTGATATAATTAAGGGGAAGCTTATATTCTAATTGTCCATTTTTAGATTCTACTATTATCTCAAGACATAGCAGGCCAAGGCCCTTGCCTCTGCACTTCTAGTAATTGTGTTAGCAGACAAAAATTTTTAGAGCTAGAAACAGTTTTACTTTTTTTTTTTTAATTTTTTATTTTATTATTTATGATAGAGAGAGAGAGAGAGAGAGAGGCAGAGACATAGGCAGAGGGAGAAGCAGGCTCCATGCACCAGGAGCCTGATGTGGGATTCGATCCCGGGTCTCCAGGATTGCGCCCTGGGCCAAAGGCAGGCGCTAAACCGCTGCGCCACCCAGGGATCCCTAGAAACAGTTTTAGAAGCCATTTTTCCTAATTCATTCACTCTTCAGATGAGGATACAGACCCAGAGTAAACATAGATCAGGTCATAGAGAGAAGTCAAGTCAGGAATCAAGCTCTCTTAATCCAGTAACTACCTTATCTCCACTTAAATAATAAAGGATAGCAAAATACCATCAAATTCTGGGGCTGAATAGAACTTACAGATGGTACATTATTCTTTGCTTTAACACTTCCAGTAATTGGCAAACAGCTCTTTCTACAATGGAAGGCCGCTAAAAATTAAAAATGTTCTTTGAAAGAGTAATTCTCAGTCTTTTATTGAGAATTAAAATCAGCATTCTCACAACTCTGGATTCTAGCCTAGCTTTGGAATCTCAAAGAATAACAGCCATCCATTTTCTCTTCTACAGGGCAGATATTTCCAAACAAGACATATGACTCAAAGGTTTCCCTCTTCCTGAGTTTTTCCAAATTTCCTTCCTATGGTATCGCTTCCCTCTGTTTTGACAATAATCTTAGAATTGTGCCTTGGATCGGTTAGAATGCTTTCAGTTAAAGGTGATTTAAAAAAAAAAAAAAGAATACACTTCAATTTGGCTTAAAGAATAACTAAAGCCTCCAGCCTCAGGGCAAATTTAGGTAGAGTTTGGTCAGAGCTCTGAGTCCATTTTCCTTTGGTTTGCTGTTCTCTGCCTTCATCTCTGTGTTAACTCTCTCCCCAGACTGACCTCCCTCATAGTTGTTGGATGCCTGCCAGGCTCAATTAGTGCTGCACGATGCCTCATTCAGCAGGAGAGGCAAGTTGCTTCCCATTAACTATGGGGGGGGGGGGAGAAAACACTGAGATTTACATCAATTGGCCACCCCTGAATCAATCCCTAAATGCCACACACTGATAAGCTTAGGCCTGGATTAATTAAACCAATTATAGTGAAAAGGAAGATGGAATCTTCCTGAGCAGCCTTAGCTAGGCATAGCCTACCCTTGAAGCTGAGGTAAAGTCCAGTCCAGTCAAACCTTATCGCTGTTATGAACAGGGCAGGAGGTGGAATAGACACTGAGGAAATAACCGTATCTCTGTCAACCATGCCTATAACTGTATGTGATACTCAGGATGGGTCTGACTACGCTCCAAATTCAGGGAAATATTAGAAATCAGCCTTACTGCCACTTCTCTCATTTTGGAAAGTGTTCCTCTATTAATACAATCTTGGCTTGAATTTACTTTTTTTTTTTTTTTAAAGCAGGTGCAACTTTTGGAGTTTGCGGTTAACAAAAGGACCTAAACAGTTTTTTTTTTTAATCCTTAAAATTTTTTAAATTTTTACAAAAGATTTTATTTATTTATTTATTTATTTATTTATTTATTTATTTATTTGAGAAAAGAGAGAGTGTGTGTGTTTGTGCACAAGCAGGGGAGGGAGATAAAGAAGCAGACTGTCTGCTGAGTAGGGAGCCCTAACATAGGCTCAATGTGGGACTCGATCCCAGGACCCTGAGATGCATGACCTGAGCCAAAGGCAGAGGCTTATCTGACTGAGCCACCCAAGTGCCCTAGTTTTTTATTTTTCTTTTAATTTTGCTTTCTGTTGTTTTGAGATGAACTTTTAAAAACTCTAATATAACTGATTTTAAAAAGCCGAAACTTTACATGCATTTCTGTTGCTAAATCTCAAAGTTCTGATATTTATGCCTTGTTCTTTTTTCTAAAACATTTTTAATTTTGTTTCTGTCAGTATATTAGCTTATTTCTCCAAGACTGATATCTCTTCGCTCAGATTAGATATTTAAAAATAACCAAGATAAGGCAAAGGACAAAGGTATGAAGCACACACCATGAGAAACCCCCCTACAAACTAACACCAGATTATTAATTACATGCAGTTGTTCAACCAACTATACATCGATCTACCCCCACTACCATTTAGGCATATTTCTACAGTACTCCAAAAAGACTTCCTGAATGAGTTCATCAAATCCTCACCTGGATACGAATACTGCCACTCCCAACCTCCTGAAATCTCCCAGGCTATTCAACCTGTAGAAAACAAAATTAGGCTAATTTAGCAGGAATATTTTTTTATTGTTTTCAGACTGAACGCTACAAGTAGTTTCATTATTTTTCAAGTACTTGTAGAGTAATCCACTCTAGAATGCTATTAATGATCAACGTTGCTGATCTAATAGTTGCTAGAATCCACCTTTTCATCCTTTGAGAGAATTGGGGTGATGTACACTCAGATCACATCTCTTGGCACCACTCCCTTTCCCTATGATTTCTGTAAATTACTGCCAATCATTCTGTGGTTACATCTTTAAGTGCTTTCCACACCTTGGAATGTAATTTGTCTATGGCAGCAAACTAGAATTCATTTAAATGTCTGGGTGGCTTTTTATAATCTCTTCATTTTATTTTTTCTGGGACTTCAATTCACTCTCAACTGTGTTTTTCTGTCCGTTCTATTTTGATGATAACTTTTGCATAGTGGCAAGGACAGATAAAATAGGAGTGAAATGACTCTGTCTCTTGTATTTGCTAGCATCTCACCATCTTTTTTAAGCAGTAGGAAGATCTATTATACATTCATAATTATGATTCCTAGTTTTTATGTAAGTCTTCTCCATTGGGAAAACTCCTCTTGTTCTCAACCTCTTTCTTTAACTTTTATTCCTTCATAGGTCTTAGAGATAATCTCTCTGAGGAGACTTCACTGATCCACCACACATAAACTAGGCACCTTTTTTATGTCCTACCCCACCTCATGACAGCCTATCATGGAATGTAGTACACTCTGTTGTACTTGTCTGCTAACATGTCTCCATTCCTCATTTAACTATAAGCTAGAAGGCAAGGGCTTTATTTATTTATTTATTTTGCAAAGGTTTTCATACTGTTTGGCACTGAGAGGTGATTAATCAATATGCTTAATCATTAAATGAATTAAATGGTGCTTTTTGTTAATTTTAGCATTTTTCCAATTCTTTTTTTTTGTATATTTTTTATTGGAGTTTGATTTGCCAACATATAGCATAACACCCAGTGCTCATCCCATCAAGTGTCCCCCTCAGTGCCCATCACCCAGTCACCCCATCACCCTGCCTACCTCCTCTTCCACTACCCCTTGTTCATTTCCCAGACAGGAGTCTCTAATGTTTGTCACCCTCTCTGATTCTCCCACTCATTTTCTCTCCTTTCCCCTATAACTCCTTTTGCTATTTTTTATATCCCTCATATGAGTAAAACCATATAATGTTTGTCCTTCTCTAATTGACTTACTTCACTCAGCATAATACCCTCCAGTTCCATCCATGTCGAAGCAAATGGTGGGTATTCGCCATTTCTAATGGCTGAGTAATATTTTATTGTATACATAGACCACATCTTCTTTATCCATTCACCTTTTGATGGACACTGAGGTTCCTTCCACAGTTTGGCTATTGTGGGCATTGCTGCTATGAACATTGGGGTGCAGACATCTTGGTCTTTCACTGCATCTGTATCTTGGGGGTAAATTCCCAGGAGTGCAATTGCTGGGTTGGAGGGTAGCTCTATTTTTAACTCTTTGAGCAACCTCCACACAGTTTTCCAGAGTGGCTGCACCAGTTCACATTCCCACCAACAGTGCAAGAGGGTTCTCCTTTCTCCACATCTTCTCCAACATGTGTTGTTTCCTGTCTTGTTAATTTTCAGCATTCTCACTGGTGTGAGGTGGTATCTTATTGTGGTTTTGATTTGTATTTCCCTGATGGCAAGTGATGCAGAGCATTTTCTCCCGTGCTTGTTGGCCATATCTATGTCTTCCTTGGTGACATTTCTGTTCATGTCTTCTGCCCATTTCATGATTGAATTTTTTGTCTCTTGGGTGTTGAGTTTAATAAGTTCTTTATAGATCTTGGATACTAGCCCTTTATCTGATAGGTCATTTGCAAATATCTTCTCCCATTCTGTAGGGTTGTCTCTTAGTTTTGTTGACTGTTTCTTTTGCTGTACGGGAAGCTTTTTATCTTGATTAAGTCCCAATAGTTCCTTTTTGGTTTTGTTTCCCTTGCCTTCATAGATGTATCTTGCAAGAAGTTGCTGTGGCCAAGTTCAAAAAGGGTGTTGCCTGTGTTCTCTTCTAGGATTTTGATGGATTCTTGTCTCACATTTAGATCTTTCAACGATTTTGAGTTTATCTTTGTGTATGGTATAAGAGAATGGTCTAGTTTCATTCTTCTGCACATAGCTTTACAATTTTCCCAGCACCATTTATTGAAGAGACCGTCCTTTTTTTCAGTGGATAGTCTTTCCTGCTTTGTCAAATATTAGTTGACCATATTGTTGAGGGCCCATTTCTGGGTTCTCTGTTCTGTTCCATTGATCAATGTGTCTGTTTTTGTGCCAGTACCACACTGTCTTGATGATTACAGCTTTGTAGTACAATTTGAAATCTGGCATTGTGATGTCTCTGGCTCTGGTTTTCTTTTTCAATATTCCCCTGGCTATTCGGGATCTTTCCTGATTCCACACAAATCTTAAGATTATTTGTTTCAACTCTCTGAAGAAAGCCCATGGTATTTTGATAGGGATTGCATTTAATGTGTAAATTGCCCTGGTAGCATAGATATTTTTCACAATATTAATTCTTCCAATCCATGAATGGAATATTTTTCCATCTCTTTGTGTTTTCCTCAACTTCTTTCAGAAGTATTCTGTAGTTTTTAGGGTATAGACCCTTTACCTCTTTGGTTAGGTTTATTCCTAGATATATTATGTTTTTGGGTGCAATTGTGAATCAGATTGACTCCTTAATTTTTCTTTCTTCAGTTTCATTGTTAGTGTATAGAAATGCCACTGATTTCTGGGCATTGATTTTGTATCCTGCCACATTGCCAAATTGCTGTATGAGTTTTAGCAATCTTGGGGTGGAGTCTTCTGGGTTTTCTATGTACAGTATCATGTCATCTGCAAAGAGGAAGAGTTTGACTTCTTCTTTGCCAATTTGAATGTCTTTTATTTCTTTTTGTTGCCTGATTGCTGAGGCTATGACTTCTAGTACTATGTTGAATAGTAGTGGTGACAGTGGACATCCCTGTCATGTTCATGATCTTAGGGAAAGGCTCCCAGTTTTCCCCATTGAGAATGATATTTGCTGTGGGCTTTTCGTAGATGGCTTTTAAGACACTGAGGAATGTTCCCTGTATCCCTACACTCTGAAGAGTCTTGATCAGGAATGGATGCTGTATTTTGTCAAATGTTTTCTCTGCATCTTTTGAGAGGATTATATGGTTCTTGTTTTTTTCTCTTGTTGATGTGATCTATCACAGGGATTATTTTACGAATGTTGAACCAATCTTGCATTCTGGGGATAAATCCCACTTGGTCTTGGTGCATAATCTTCTTAATGTACTGTTGAATCCTATTGGCTAGTATCTTGTTGAGAATGTTTGCGTCTGTGTTCAACAGGGATATTGGTCTATAATTCTCCTTTTTGATGGGGTCTTTGTCTGGTTTTGGAATTAAGGTGATGCTGGCCTCATAAAACGAGTTTGGAAGTATTCCATCCCTCTCTATCCTTCGGCACAGCTTTAGTAGAATAGATATTATTTCTTCTTTAAGTGTTTGATAGAATTCCACTGGGAAGCCATCTGGCCCTGGACTTTTGTGTCTTGGGAGGTTGTTGATGACTGCTTTAATTTCCTCCCTGCTATTGGCCTGTTCAGGTTTTCTATTTCTACCTGTTCCAGGTTTGGTAGTTTCTGGTTTCCAGAAATGCATGATTTCTTCTAGAATGCCTAATTTTTTGGTGTATAGCTGCTCATAATGTTTTTAAAATTTTGTATTTCCTTGGTATTGGTTGTGATCTCTCCTTTTTCATTTGTGATTTTATGAATTTGAGTCTTTTCTCTTTTGTTTTTATTAAGGCTGGCTAATGGTTTATCTATCTTATTAATCTTCCAAAGAACCAACTCCTCGTTTTGTTGATCTGTTCTACAGTTCTTCTGGTCTCTGTTTCATTGAGTTCTGCTTGAATCTTTATTAACTCTCTTCTTCTGCTTGGTGTAGGTTTTATTTGCTGTTCTTTCTCAAGTGCTTTTAGGTGCAAGGTTAGTTTGTGTATTTGACTTTTTTCTATTTTTTTTGAGGGATGCTTGTATTGCATTGTATTTCCCTCCTAGGACTTATTTTTCTGTATCCCAAGGATTTTTGAACAGTTGTATCTTCATTTTCATTATTTTCCATGAAATTTTTCAATTCTTCTCTATTTACGTGGTTGACCCATTCATGTTTTAGTAGGATGCTCTTTAACCTCCCCGTGTCTTTCTTCCAAAATATCTTCTCATGATTGAGTTCTAGTTTCAAAGCGTTGTGGTCTGAAAACATGGAGGGGACAATCCCAATCTTTAGGTATTGGTTGAGACCTGATTTGTGACCCCGTATGTGGTCTATTCTGGAGAAAGTTCCATGTGCACTTGAGAAGAATGTGTATTCAGTTGCATTTGGAGGAAATTTCTGTATATATCTGTGAAATCCATCTGGTCCAGTGTATCATTTAAAGCCCTGGTTTCTTTGGGTGTGCTTAGAAAATCTGTCATTTGCTGAAAGTTCCATATTGAAGTCTCCCACTATTAGTGTATTATTATCTAAGTATGTCTTAACTTTGGTTATTAATTGATTGATATACTTGGCAGTTCCCACATTCGGGGCATAAATATTCATGATTGTTAGGTCCTCTTGTTGGACAGATCCTTTAAGTATGATATAGTGTCCCTCTTCATCTCTTACTACTGTCTTTGAGATAAATTTTATTTTACCTGATATGAGGATTGCTACTCCAGCTTTCTTTTGAGGACCATTTGAATGGTAAATAGTTCTCCAACCTTTCATTTAAAGGCTGTAAGTGTCCTTAGGTCTCAAATGAGTCTCTTGTAGACAGCAAATAGATGGGTCTTGCTTTTTTTATCCAGTCTGAAACCCTGTGTCTTTTAATGGGATCATTTAGCCCATTCACATTCAGAGTTACTATTGAAAGAGATGAATTTAGTGTCATCATAATA